ATTTTTCCAAGAGATTCAAAATGCTGGGGATGATCCGCAAATCATTTGGAATCCTTAGGGTCGAGATGCTTGCTGAACTTGACACGCGTTTCGTCAGACCCCACTTAGAGTACTGTACCCAAGCCTGCCCCCCTGCGGGTTTTGAGGATTGGCACCAAGATGCTAAGACATATGTCCTATCCTAAAAGACGGTTTAGTCTAGGTCTTTTCCCCCGCACTATCGGCGCCACTGGGGTGATCTAATTCTTACGTATCGCATCTTATCAGCTCAGATTAATCCGGACTTCTCTCACTTTTTCCTTCCGGCTCGATTACTGACTCTTCGTGTGCATCCCAGGCAGATTCACAGGCCTCGATCCGACCAGTTGAGGGCTGATGTCCGGTTATCGTGTATGACAATTGACTCTTGGAATGCCCTGCCCGAGGATGTAGAGTTGGCGCCGACGGTTAAGACGTTTGAACACCGACTTGTCGCCCTCTGTTTGCAGCCACAACTCTTCCCCTTCATATCTTAGCATGAATTAAAATTTTCCATTTCTGTTTTCCTGTCTTGATTTCCAGTGTTCATTTTACGTTCTTTCTCTTCCAGTTTTTTTTTCTTTTCCCTTTCCGTTTTCTTTCCGTTCTACGTGACCGACATAGCGGTGGCTGCTAATGCAAGACGCGTGGGCATTGATTGGTGGGCCGCGATGTGACGCGCGTGCCGATCGTACACTCTCAGAAGACAAATCGTATCACTGAAATCCACCCTGGCTCAACGAGGCTTCCACCATGGAACATCCATGGGATTCTCCTATTGTTCCTGTCCCACTTGAACTTGAGGCCCCTAGTTTTCGGTTCTAAACTGTCCGCATCACATCTTAACTTATTCGCTCCTACTGCATTATTAAATCGCTACTTCTTTTGGTTCTCAACGCCTTTATTACTTCCGTGACCGATGCGTCGGGGACTACCGATGCAGGCCACATGCTTGGTTCGTGCGTGTTGATCTGACTTTTTTAGATTGCAGTTATCACGGGCTAATGATATCCACAATCCACGGAAATTAAACCTAATTTTCTAGTCCCATCTGAACTTGAACTTCTTTTTCCTTTGAGCTCACCACAAGTTGGGACCCTTGAATGCACCGAAATTAATCGACAGACTTGGGATGAATTTTCTTCGGGGGTCGATTCGGCAACGATGGCCTGCTTTGCTAAGAGAAATTTTGTCTCCATGAACCGGATACCAGTTGAAATGTGAACATTCAAGTCGACACGTAGCCGAGATTGTCTTGTAATCTGGCAGCACGGGTTCGGACCTGCGTAGCAGCGGGGCGACCCTCTGAGTTCTGACTGCAACCACTCCGCCACGTTTCTATTGCTTGGTCTCATCCTTGTACTAACTCTTATTGCCTGTCCGTTGGACCAATCATCCTGCCTGTCACCACCGCACTCTAGTGCCTTGGGATGACCTGAAGAACACCGCTATATATGTTGGCGATCCACCGTCGTATACCAAATGTGCGTTCGATTCGGTGAATAGTTGTGCGCATAGTTCGAGTAGAATGAGGATTTACGGCAAACTGTCTTACCCCTTCAATATCTCTAACACTGAGGCAAGGTTGCCCGCTGACACCCTTCTTTTTCGCTATTAACGTAGCGATGGAATCTGCTTTCATTGGGCACGACTTGGTAGGTGTGAAGCTGTTACTTGACTTCCAGTATCCGAACGCCATTGCCCTAATCTGTGACAGCTCCCAAACGTGTTAAGCATCACTGGGTAAATTAACTGGAAGTCAATAGTTTCGGACTGTGTGTTTTCACCCTCGGAATGCAAGGCACTTCTCCAAGATTGGCAGGGACCTACCTCTACGCTAACCGGTCGTGAGTACCAACTAGAAGTCGTTCAGAAATTCAAGTAGCTCGGCGGCTATATTAGCACCCGGGGATCAAACATGATGTCACGAGCTGTATGGCGAAAGCTCGAGATGCTTTTACCAATCTCTACCACCCGTGGTGTCGCGGGACATCACTGAAGGGCAGAGTTTACTATCCGGCTGCGAAACCTGGTCCACCACATTGATAGACAAAAAGAGTCTAGTCATGTTCGACCATCACAGCTTGGCTCATGTATGATGGGAACACCGCACGAGCACTGAACGTGTTCGATGTCGCGTGTTTGATGCAGGAAGAGCGAGTGCACCGCTCAGCATCGTTATAACACGCACCATGCTGCGATGGCTGGGCCATGTGTCGCGTATGCCAGTGTGCCGACCCACGCGGCTTACATTGTTGACGCACCGTGAGTTTCTAGGAAAGAAGAGAAGAGGGACTCATGTGATAGCTTAGTAAAGAGGAATGAAAGCCCTCCCTTCGAACTTGGCGTCGGTTGGTGTCTACCGACTGACGAAGCGGAATCCGAAGGACGATCAACACATTTGATGTGATACGATACTTGATATGGCGAAGGTTTGGTCGTAATAGCGTTTGTGTTGTGCGTTTCTTTGTCTATTCCCTCCCGCTTATATTCCCTCTCTAACCACTTTCTCACGCCTTATTCCTAATGTAATAAGCATCAAACTGCTCTTTTGTTTTTGTATTGCGTTCCGTAATGTTTCGTTTCTCGCTTTTTCATATACACCTTTTTGTATTGCAGCACATTGGCTGAAATGTCTTTCTCACCTTCAGCTAACGTGTAGTGATGATGACAATATATGTTCAAAACTTTCTCAATTGTTGTGCCACAACACAAGAGGAATAAGAGTAGATTGAAAAGAGGACAGTTGGACAAAAGGGGCTCACAGCCAGTTTGCCATTGTGTACGGTTCTTGGCCATATCCAGTATCGTTTGTAACCAGGTGTGCTCTTTATCTTTGAGTCCCTAACCAAGGAGTCCGGAATACCCAACACCATCCAGCTTCTCTGTTCACTCAACTTATTAGATATAGATTCTACGTTGGCCTCCTTGTCGTCGCTTCTAGCCCACGCCTGCGCTCACGAAGAACGCACATCTTGGTAGCCGTTAGGTAGGGATGCGAAGCATGTGCCTTAACCAGAGATGCCCCCGCAGTGAAATAATACTGTCAGGCGGTCGGTGAAGTTTGTCATGTTTGATGACTTGTTGATGAACCTCCTCATTTCTGATGTGATGCTGTCATCGAACACTAGCAATGCTCCGAAGGCAGTAGTGATCGAGGACAGCCGCTAAACCTCACTCTTGCGCATGTGCCAAGTCTTGCAGTCATACAGCAAAGTCGCTGGTATCGTAGCACTGTAGACTCGGCTTTTCAGAGCGAAGATGATGTCACGAAAATGCCACAGGTGACAGAGTTTAGTAAAGGCCACTTTAACCTTGAAGATGCGCAAGATGATATCTTCTGTCCAACCTCTAATACTAAGACAATTCCCAAGGTAAATGAATCAGTTGACCACCTCCAACGGAGGCCCCGTGAGGGTAAGAGAAAGAGATACACTTGGCCAGTCCTGTAACTAGACCTTGCACTTGGATAAAGCAATGATCTGCCCAAATCGTTAAGCGGACATACCCGGCCTAAGCAGCACATGTTGGGCGGCTGGGCGGAGTCATAACAGCGATGTCATCTGCGTGCTTCAAATCCCGAATGCGATCACCTGGGAGCAGTTCGACGCCACGAGACTCATAGTTTTCCAGGTCAGTCTCCAGGATCTCGTCCATGGCGAAATAGAACAAGAAGGGAGAGGCTGGAAAACACTAACCACTGGTGATATTGAAAGGGGACGAAACGTTGCCATACACTCACACGCGATCCGACTTTTTAACAGTAAATGGCACGAAGAATGCTGGTCTACTTTTCATGTACTCCCTTCTTCAATAAGCAGTCCCAAAGAGACTGTCAACAGCGAAAGCGGCCCGAATGTTCAGGAACATGACTGTGGTTGGTCGACTGAACGTATGGTGGTGTTCAAGTATTTGCAACATTGCTGCCGGACATTTTCCTGTAACGGGTAGCTCCAGAACCACCTAATTGGTCCGACATGCCAGCCTTTTATTCTTATATTCTGCGAGGTAGTCACAGTGAATGTGCAACTCGAAGCGTGCGAGTTACTGTCATCTAGCCGAATGTCCCTCTGCAATTACGATCTTCTGTCAAATGCATAATATAATAAATAGTTGACGGTTCGTCGCAGCCAGTTCCAAATCTGATAGTCATCCACATGCCCGGAAAACCCTTAGCCTGCAGTTTCAGTCTGTTGGACATCCTCAATAGTGCGTATCCATCGGGATTCGAACCCATGACAGCCAGCGGCTTATGCTACTGGGGCACGAGGGACAGCTTCGGACCGTCATGGTTTACAAGCTAACTGCAATATAGCGCGTCTTATCCTCCACTGTCTTGCAAGTTACGAACGTTGCAGAGGACAGGATTGGCCCTGCGCTGACAGTTTCTAAATGCTATGTCGTACATCGCTGCTGTCAGTGGACGTCGTGTCTTTCGGGGCCATCCCTGTCCTCTGCAACGTTCGTAACTTACATGACAGTGGAGAATCAGATGCGCTATATCGCAGTTAGCTTGCAAATCATGACGGTCCGAAGCTGTCCCCTGTGACCCAGTGGCATAAGCTGCTGACTGGCGGTGCAATCCGCTGGCGGTCATGGGTTCGAGTCCCGATGGATGCGCACTACTGAGGATGCCCAGCAGGCTGAAACTACAGTCTAGTGGTTTTCCGGGCATGTGGACGACTATCTGATTTGTAACTGGCTGCGACGCACCCTCAATTATTCATCTCAAAATCCCCTACTCATGACTACCTCATAATATATTTGACATTATATTACTTGCTTTTCGAATTATTTGTTGTGTAACTTTTCAGTATCTTTTTTTATTGCGACATATTACCTATAGTGCGTTTCTCACCCTCAGCTAATGTGTATTGATGAGGATGATGAATATCCTCACTAGCATTTGATTGAGCTTTTGTGAACTTACTGTACTCCTGACACTGTTTATGCTTTTTTGGTCACCGCCAAAATTTTCTTTTATGTCTTGTGCCAATCGTGACTGCTATTTGTTGGTACTCACTCCCAGTTGGTCATCTTTCAGTCGAACGTCTGCCAAGTCCGCGTTACATCTGCTACTCTATCAGACTCTCTCAGTCATATTTCTACTCATGGATTATGAATCTGACGCAAAAATTGCTTCTGTTAGTAAGTTTCCATTAATCTTACTGCACATGCACAACATTACTGAAAGGCAAATGATAGTAGTAGTAGTAGTAGTAGTAGTAGTAGTAGTAGTAGTAGTAGTAGTAGTAGTAGTAGTAGTAGTAGTAGTAGTAGTAGTAGTAGTAGTAGTAGTAGTAGTAGTAGTAGTAGTAGTAGTAGTAGTAGTAGTAGTAGTAGTAGTAGTAGTAGTAGTAGTAGTAGTAGTAGTAGTAGTAGTAGTAGTAGTAGTAGTAGTAGTAGTAGTAGTAGTAGTAGTAGTAGTAGTAGTAGTAGTAGTAGTAGTAGTAGTAGTAGTAGTAGTAGTAGTAGTAGTAGTAGTAGTAGTAGTAGTAGTAGTAGTAGTAGTAGTAGTAGTAGTAGTAGTAGTAGTAGTAGTAGTAGTAGTAGTAGTAGTAGTAGTAGTAGTAGTAGTAGTAGTAGTAGTAGTAGTAGTAGTAGTAGTAGTAGTAGTAGTAGTAGTAGTAGTAGTAGTAGTAGTAGTAGTAGTAGTAGTAGTAGTAGTAGTAGTAGTAGTAGTAGTAGTAGTAGTAGTAGTAGTAGTAGTAGTAGTAGTAGTAGTAGTAGTAGTAGTAGTAGTAGTAGTAGTAGTAGTAGTAGTAGTAGTAGTAGTAGTAGTAGTAGTAGTAGTAGTAGTAGTAGTAGTAGTAGTAGTAGTAGTAGTAGTAGTAGTAGTAGTAGTAGTAGTAGTAGTAGTAGTAGTAGTAGTAGTAGTAGTAGTAGTAGTAGTAGTAGTAGTAGTAGTAGTAGTAGTAGTAGTAGTAGTAGTAGTAGTAGTAGTAGTAGTAGTAGTAGTAGTAGTAGTAGTAGTAGTAGTAGTAGTAGTAGTAGTAGTAGTAGTAGTAGTAGTAGTAGTAGTAGTAGTAGTAGTAGTAGTAGTAGTAGTAGTAGTAGTAGTAGTAGTAGTAGTAGTAGTAGTAGTAGTAGTAGTAGTAGTGCATTTTAGTTGCAGGTGAGCAACACACTTCTGCTACTCTGCTGCAGGAAGAAAGGAACATTCTGACAATTAGTAGAACAAGATATTTTTAGGTTATTTTTCACACGTCGACTTTTCTCTTTTTTGTCATTTTCAATGTTTATAGTATTAAACATGTAAATCAATACAATACTGTACACAATTCTTCCACTGATTGCGGTTACGGGCCGTGTCTTCAAGAGTGCTAAGCCATTGGCACTCCTCATCTTTCGGTCCCCATCCTGGAAGACATGCGGATCCAACAGCGGCTAGACACGTCAGCGATTTCATGTGCTGCCGCCAAGTGGAAGGCTGACCACCACGCGGTTGCCTCCAGCCAGGTCCTTGACGAGCGAATAGAGCGCGACGCGGTAGACGCTCAGGTGCCATACGTATGACGTGACCGAGCCATCTCAACTGGCGCAACAAAACCAGTTTGTTGAAGGGAATACTCGCATTCCCCAAGATGCGACGTCGAACGTCATTACTATTAACTCGATGTTGCCACCAAACACGAGCAATCCTCCTTAAGCAACCGTTATCGAAGGCAGAAAGACGACCCATGTCTTCCACGCGAATCGGCCAGGACTCACTCTCATACAGCAATACTGAGCGAGCTGATACGTTGTAAACGCGGCCCTTTAGCTAGAATGAGACGTCGCGACGACGTCACAGGTGCCTCAGATTGACAACTACTTTTCGAGTTTTAGCGATGCGAAGAGAAGCTTCTTCGTTGATTGTGCCGTCAGGAGAAACAACTCCCAAGGTAGACGAAACTATGTACCTGTTCAAGTTGTGCACCTTCGAGAGTGACCACGGGAGCAGGTGAAAGCCAATCCTTGAGCAATACTTTAAACTTCGATGGGGCGAAGCTCATGCCATACTTAGATGCTTCAACCGCCAAGCGATCCAGAATGAGTTGCATACGCTGACGATCGTCACCAAGTAAAGCGATATCATCAGCATACTCTAAGTCGGTCGCGCGCTTACACGGTAGAAGCTCTAGGCCAAAATGTTGGAAACCTTCTAGAGCATCCGACAGAATATTTTCGATTGCGAAGTTGAAAAGGAATGGGGACATAGAGCAGCCCTATCGCACACCGCTATTGACAGCGAATTGCGAGGTAAGCTTGCCATGGACCCTCACTCTGTCAGATGTATGAAGGTAAAGTGCACGTAAGATGGCGGTATATTTCTCTGGCACCCCGTTCTTTAGCAAGCAACGCCATAAAGCAGGTCGATCAACGGAGTCAAAAGCGGCACGTATGTCTAGGAATGAAACGATAGTGGGCCTGTGATAAATGTGGCGATGTTCGAGGAGCTGGCGGAGCGTGAAGATTTGATCCACTCATCCGCGGCCAGGACGGAAACCAGCTTGTTCTTCACGGTAGTATGATCCACGTACTGGGGATAGTCTGCGAAGCAAAATAGATGCCAATAGCTTGGAGGCAACCGAAATAAGACTGATCCCGCAACGATTTACATATTAAGTGCGAGCGCCTTTCTTGAAAATCAGGACAATAACTGATTCACCCCAAGTGGAATGCACTTTCTCTTCATGCTCGATTTTTGCAAACAGCGCGGTCAGCTGGTTAATGACCGCCCCACCGCCGTACTTGAATAGCTCCGGAGGAAGTCCATCTAAACCGGCAGCCTTAAAGCGCTTCAAGCGTCGAATTTCGAGGCAGACTTCTGCTTCGCTGGGTGGATTCACTGGGACGAGCCAAGGTGTACTGCATGTACTGATGGATGATGGATGCCAGTTGAATTGCGAGTGAAAGTGTTCGGCTCAGCGGTCCATACGCCTCTGTTGGTTGGTGATCGGACTCATCCACCTCACTGACACCAGGTTTCCTGAGGCCAGTGGACCGAATGAGTTGGAAAAGCCTGCGAGTGTTGCCAGAGAGGGCAGCAGTCTCCATCTCTAAAGCACGCTCAGACCACCATGTCTGATCATCCTTGCGTAGGGTTCGCTTGAGCAGCCGATTGGCAGAACGGCGCCGCTCGTTGCAATCTGATTCCGCTGGGAAATCTTTGCGGCGTTCGAGCAGCTCCAGAGAAGGAGCAGAGATCCAAGCCCTTAGGGGGCGTCGAGTTAGGCCGCAGCTTGACTGTCCGGAAATGGTCACCGCTTTCCGTATACAAGTCCAGTGTTGCTCCACGTCTTGCGGTGGATTGCAACTGAGTGCATATGCCAGTGAAGACTGATAGCTCGTCTGGACAGAGAAATCAGTTAATCTGTTAACATCAATCTTGCGGTGCTTCGTGTTTCGGGATTCCCCAAAACACATACAGACTTTCACGCAGACCAGAGCATGATCTGGGTCAAGGAAGGTAGACCAAAAGGACCTGTAGTCCAGTACGCTGCCGCGCCATCTGAAGCTAATTGCATTGTAATCAATTTGAGACCACGGATGTGTTGGCGAAGTGGACGTCACGTTGCGGAACGCTTCTTCTCACGCCCGAAGTTAATTCTCGAGAGAAACAGATGGTTGTCTTCTCACAATGTTAGAATCCGTTATCAGAGCGGTTCTCATCGAGCGCGTGATGACCACCAAGGTGGCGTTCGTATGGTAACAGGCGGCCAATCCGTGCATTAAAACCGCTAGCAAGGATAACGACATCCGACTTAGCATTAGTCAAGAACTGTTGTAAATCCCGGTAGAATTCGTCCTTGACCGAGTCGCCACTGCAGTCAGTTGGAGCATACGCGGAGATCACAAACAAGTTGCGTTTCTCCTCGCGGCGCTTGTTGATTCTACTTGAACCCCGAAGCCGAACTACACACAGTCGGCTGTTAATCGGGAACCAGTCCAATAGTGCCGCTTCGGCCTTGCCACTTAGTGCTATACCTACACCAGCCAAACCCACTGAGGCTGCTTCTGAATCTATAGAAAGACGCAGGTGATATCTGACTTCGTAGTCACTGGTGGATGTCAATGTAAGCACAGTGTTGAGATCTTGCAATCGGGTTTCTGAAAGGTAGCAGACATCAAAGTCTAGGGAATCTAGGGTGCGCGCTAGATCAGCTTGCTGCCCAATCTGCATGAGCGCCCGAACCTTGAAGCACGCCAGACGGAACGAGGATCGGGAACGAAAGAGAGCCATAGGTTGAACTCGTTGGTCTGCAGCATAACCAGAATCACAGCCAGATTGTTGAACACATGAATCGGGTAACGGAAAGTGAGGATTGTTAGCAAACAAACAATTGGCGTGTAATGACGTCGCGTGAATGTTAGAAGCAGAAACAGTAGCTGATGAGCACGTTGTAGTACAGTCCATGATGTTGTGAGAGGGCGTGATATTACCCGGTTGCTTAGGCCGAAGTAGCGAGTTGACTTAGGGGACTCCACCCTGAGCCTTTGGCTAAATAACCTACCTGCAAGGCAGCGGGGCGAATTTAGGGAATCGTGCCCATTGGGAGGCGTTGACTGGATGTTCAGTTCATGCGCCTTCGTTTGGTAGATCACCAAACAGGGGCTCTATACTCCCCATGAAATCAGTACAATTGCTGGAATACAATGCCCCACCGAGGTGGAACATTGTCGCCGAACACTTTGCTGGAACGGGGTACACCCGAACCACCCAGGTGGCGCCACGAGGAGGTAGTTCGGCAAGGCAGCCAGACAATTGTTCATTAATTTACTATAATCTCATTTTGGGCCTATTCATTCATACTAGCTTTTAGAACCGGGTCCCTTCGTCCTCTGGTGCATTTTCTCACCGGTGGTGCCAAATGATTCGGCTACTGCCTTTTAAATGCTCATGAAAATCCTCACGACTCGTAGGCCGCTGACATCTTTTTTCGAAGCAATTTTTTCCTGCTGTTTTCGTTTTCACTCTACGGATTCTTGCACCTTAGCTCGGTTCTCTGAACTACATCGGATACTCTTTCTTTTCTTGACCGATTTCCATTTTCGCATTTTTAATAGTTGTGTATTTCCATCTTTTAATAAACGCATTCTACTTTCTCCACTGTTATCTCTCACTCAGATGGTGATGAGGAATTCGTAGTCCCTCATATGGATATCGCCTGTTTGCAAAATTCTTTGGCTTACCAGAAGGTGCTAGAGGAACCATGGACTTATCTTCACAACTGGAACACGCTGGCACCTTCGGTTCAACAGCAACTGGCTCGAAGCTTCCTCAACACACTCGCCCAAGTGAAAGGCGAGATGGCCATTACACAGGGCGTTTTCGATCCCTACATCGTCAATGAGCAATCGCCATTCCCTACGGAGGTTTGTTATTGGATGCACTCGTTTTCATTGTTAAAAGTAGTATGCGGGTTTTGAATTTTCTCTGGGTTTTTTTTGCAACTACACAGTTAGGGCACCGGAACTCGGCAGTGGTGTTCATCTCCCGCTTGTTGGTACCCCGTTGTGATGGTTCAGGTGTTTGGCTTTCACTTTCTGGGTTCGTGTCCTGTTTGGTATTGGGTGTCGGCCTGCACACAAGTGCTTGCGGTTACATGACAACGAACGTCGGTACGCCATGCTAGTGTACTGCGAACGCCTCTTCTCCTTTAAGCCTCATCTTCGTCGCCAGGTTGTTAATGGGACTAAGATCGCGCCATGTCCTTCTGCTTGGTTGTTTTGGACCCTGACCGCTCTGATTTGCTGGTCCCGTCGCAACAAGACAGGACCTTAACATGATACGACGATTTTTCTATCTCTTTGACCCATTGAGATATGCTTGGTTGTGCCCCCAGGCGCCTTGCGAGCTTCTATCAGGTTCGTTAATGGTTACAGGTCAGACAAACAGTCTCCTAGTCTCCATGTTGGGGGTTTGAGATAGGATGGCGTCCATTTCTGTAAAACTAAATACCACCTCAGCCGCTTTGCGGACAGGCTTTTGAGCCAAAAGCTTTGGTTGAGGACTCTTATCGTCCTCCTGTCTGGGTCTTGGCGTGTTGTATCGCTTGATTCTTTCCCTCTGCCACTGACAACTGTTTTACTGCTGCGTTGTTTCGTGGCGTCTTTTCATCTGCGTACTCTAAATTTGAACTGTCGGACTTGATATCCATGGTTGCGACAGTTGGTTAACTTTCGGCAGGTGGCATACAGTGTTTATTGACTGATCAAGTAATTTCAACTCTTCCATCCAGTCGAGTCCCAGCAAATCTAACCCCAGTCGGTCTGTTACAAAGCACGTTGTGTGGATTTGTTGACCTCGGAAATCGAATCGACAGTTCAATTCACCAAGCAGTTTTAACGTACCACCATTAGCATTCCTTGCCGTATGGGTTGTTTGTACGAGTGTCGGCCGCCCCAACCTGCGCCACGTGTCGCTAGAGATCAGAATGATATCTGAAGCCGTATAAAGTTGTAACTTAACTTGCCTGCCATTAATTTCCAACATGGTGCATTTACGCTTGTTGACGCCATCGATCTTGAAAGTCGCAGTGATCGTTCTACTCCCATCGGGCTATCTGAACGGTGTGGCATTGTTACGCTTCTTTCTGGACAAAGTAAGATCACGCGCCAAACAACACGACTCTTTATAACCTCTTCTGCAGCATCGGTTGCAAATGTGATTCTTACATGGACAGCGTCGAGCAAAATGCCATACTTTACAAAACCAACAAGGAGAGGGAGGTTTGGAATGTGATGGACTCACATGAGTTGGTGCTTTTTGGGGAGTCCGATTGACTGCACAAATGAGGTCATGCTCATTCGTATTGGACTACTGCTGAATCATTGATGTATCATGCTTCAAGTACGTCGTTCTCTAGCACTCACCGGTCACTTGCTGCAACCTGGTCAGTATTCTGCTCAATCTTGCTCAGTATTCTTGTTCGTATGTCCGCATCGTGGGCTGCTTGTAAGTCGCAAACGTAAATGAGGCATTTGTACTGACCGGCGGTCATTTTGTGAAACCATGAACGTTCGCACTCTCGATTTACACGGCTCGAGTAGGTGACCCAATCTTCGTCATCTTTCTTGGATATCGTGAGGCACTTGTACCGGATGTTGAACAACGATGTCTGCTCATCAAAAATTTGTGACAAGACTAAGACAACTTCTTCCAGGGATAGGTCAGTGCTCTTCTTTGTCAAGATGGAATTTGCAAACTTTTCATGTTCAGCCGCTCCCAGCTTCCGGAGCATCAGGCGAATGTTCTTTTCTGGTACATTTACGAAATCAACACGAAACTTGTCTTCATACTTGTGAAACCAGGAAGCGAATGTCACGCCAGCATCCGCATCATAGTAGAACTCACTGATCTGCTGTGTCAGGAACACTTTCGCCTGCCCCTAACCCAGGACTGCGTTAACATCTCAGTGAACCTGGCCTGCTGCTGCAAAAGTGCCTCCAATTTTTCGAAGCTGGCTGCCATTTCTGGATTCGATCGCAACTCGCGTCCCCACTGTTGTAATGCTTCTTTCTCTCTCTGTCTCTACCACTGACAACTGTTATACTGCTGCATTGCTGCCCTGCGATGCTGCGACTGTCTGACTGCTCAGTTACGCGTCCGGCCAACCGAAGGAATACAAAAGTTCAGAACTCTGTAGACAGAGAGAGTATCTACAGGATAGATTAATTCTATTTATTGGTCAACGGAACATGCTAATTTAGGAGATCAAGATCACTCACTCTTCTACATCTGATTTTCAGCCAATGTGAATGAATTGCGCTCCACTGGTTTATCATATTGACGGGATAGTTCAATTCCTTTGACGCGGGCTGGTATTTGCTGACCGATCAATCCTAAATTCAGTGGTAAGGTCAATGCTCCTAGCACGCCCGTGCTGATGACCTTTGCATGTAGCGGACAGCCTACGTGCTCCGCTTATGCCTCTATTAGGGCATCTTGACAGTATCTCAACTCACCTACAGCTATGACTATTTATTCACATTTCAGCCGCATCGTGCATCGGCCGTCGCGCAAATTACCAAGGGTTGCCTTATGTGCTGCGTATTCAGGGCGGATAAGCGAAAACATGCTACTTTTGATATCCCCCTTTTTTCCTTTCCATCGCTTTCTCTTACTCCCCTCCCAACCCCCATTACTAACATTCCTTCGATAATTCCAAATTTAGGTTACAGCAGCCACAATGCCGTTGAAACTATGCCAGTTGCAAGTTACCTTCCCGTGCCACCCACCGGACGCCTATCGGCAGCAGTCCCACGCTGTCCCGTTTCCTTGGCGGCATTCAACGTGCGCACTCTAAGACAACTGGGTCAACAGGCTGCACTTTGACCATACAATTGATATGTGTGCTGCGTATCCGAAACCAGGATCAATGACCCTAACGGGTTTGTTGTGTTAACTGCGCCAGGCTTATTCTCTCGCTGTTGGTTGCACGCATCCGGAGACTTCGATTCGACAATCACTGGTCAAGCCGGGGTGGGCGTCGTTCTCAGTCCCAAGGCTGAATCATCGTTGGTTCATTGGATTCCCGTGAACAGCTGTTTGTGTGCAGCCCCGTTTGACGACATCAACTAACGTTGATTCACGAATTAGTGCAAGACGCGGTTTGTTTGTGATTTCCGCTTATACTTCCACCGACTGTAATACTGGTGCTACTAAGAACCCCTTCTACCGCGAACTGAACAGATAGTCTTATCACTTCAAATATCGTTATTGCATGGTATATGAATGCGCAAATAGGTCATCTGAGCTCTTCAGAAGCTCAATTAGGAGATAAGTATAGACTTAACTCCGAATGGCCGGACAACGGCGAGCATCTGTTACAGCTGTGTGCGGCGCACTGGCGGTTGCTTAGTTGCGCCGAAATACCACTGGGCATTCTCCTGTAGCTGACCAGCAATGGACCCAACTAGACCACATTGCCATAAGCTAAAGGTGGCATAGTTCCATCATGGACGATCGTTCGTTCTGGGATACTTGCGTCTACTTTGATCATGCCTTAGTACGCTATCGTTTTCCCATGAACTTTATCGGGAGGCATATCAAGCACCTCGCTGGATTGGCAACTGCGAAGTTATCTCAGCACTTGGTCAGACAAACCTACCAGGATGCCCTGCCTTCCGAATTTTCCTTGTCTTGTCCTAGTGACACTGAGCTTCAGTGGAATAGGATCTCAGTCGCCATGCACAATGCAGGAGCCTCTGCTTGTGGTACTGTCAGTCGTCACCACGTCAATCACTTGATATCCGAAAGGTCGGTGAACTTGTTGAGTCTAGAAGAGAACTCCTGGCTGGCTCTGAGCACAATGTGACCAGACCGATTATTAGGCGCGAACTAAATCGGAGCCTGCCTGCTGACAAGGCAGCCTGGCGGATTAGTAAGGCTCAGGAACTGGAGAGGGCGGGAGCAGTAGACAACTGTCGCAAGTTCTTCTAGCTGATCCGCACTACTGGGCCCTGGAAACCAGGCGTCAGTGAGACAATCAGAGGCACCGCGGGTGCACTGATACACACTAAGGAACGCCGTATGGCTTGTTGGGCAAAGCACTTACAAGATCAGTTCAGTTGGCCCCCTGCTCATGCACCTCTTCCTACTCAGGTGAGACAGGATGAACCATGAACGCTTAGTTCAGTTGCTCCATCGGAGAGTGAGGGCCGAAGCGCGATCACAACCCTCACTCGTTTTCTTGATGCTGACCCGGATTCCCTTACGCTTGCACTATTTAAGGATGGAAGTGAGGTCCTCTGAAAGGCACTGACTTCGTGTTCGAACAAGTTTGGAAGGAAGAGACCATCCTGGTTAACGGAAGTGAATCGGTTATAGTTATATACTACAGGAAGTGTAGTTGTACCGACTATGCTAAGCACAGGGGTATTAGCTTGAGGCCGACGGTGACAAAATTACTGGCTTCAGTTCTCGTTCGTCGTCTCACCACGGAACGAGAATCCCGAATAAAAGAGGAGCAAGCAGGCTTCCATCCAGGACGTAGCTGTATTGACCACTCTGCCACAGGTGCTGGAGCAGCGCAACGCCTATCGCAAGCCAGCAATAGCTGTGCGTTTGACTCAGTCGATCGATGCATTCTGTGAGAGATACTTGCACCGAAAGCTGTTCCCATGAAATATATGAACATTTTACCTGTTCTGTACTCGAACAGACACGCCATTCGGAGTCTACAGTGACCTATCGGATATCTTTTTGACAACAGGTTGCGTTCGTCGGAGTTGTCCAATTTCCCCATTTTGTTCACTTTCGTCCTGGATCCCACCATAGAATCTTCCCTTGCCGAATCTCACGATGCAGCCATTAAACTGCTGTCTGATGAAAGGCTAGTTGGTCCCGATTATGCGGACGATATTGTCCTGTT